GACGGCACCGGCTTGTGTGGGGCGCACTCACCCAGGCTAACAACCTGAGCTGTCTGTTAGCTGATCAAAACCGAATCGAAGCCTGCGAATAGGAGTCTCACACAGCTCCCTGCCACCACCACCCCTCCCCACTCCATCCAAGAAACACCATGAGGCAGGCGCCCATGTTTTTGCACTGGGAACAAGTTTGACTTCCCTGCCTCCCTGCCAGGCTTTAGTTTTCACTCTCCTCAATCCCTGAGGGACAAAGGGGTGAAGGAGGAGAAGCCTGACGGATTTAGGTATCCATTCCTCTTTCTAGACTAGTGAGCTCCAGGCTAGGTCTGTCCCAGGAGCGTATGATGTGTAGGCAAACCCCAGGCAGGAGAAAAGGATATTAGAGAGCTGTTGGGTTTAATTTTTTCTTTTTCCTCTTCATCTCGTAGTTTTGTTTTTACGGAGCTGTATGGGCAGAGGTCTGCAGAAACAGGTTAGAATCAAATTTCCGCTGATCTGCCGTGTTATTTATACTAAAGGATAAAATGAATATAAAATCAGCAGCTCCAAACCACTAGCGAGTTCAAGGAGAGATTGTCGGCTTGGAAATGTCACAATGTAAGTGGGGTGGTGAACTTCTGCAGTTGGAGAAGTAGCATTTGGCCCAGGAGCGTCCCACACTATCTCCTTCCTAATTTCGGCCTCCAAACGGCTCCCAATTCTATCACTCCTGCCAGCTGTCCCATCAAGCGAGAAAAGTTTCCTCTCCCTCCTCCTGCAACGGACCTGGCGAGTAATCGCGCTCTGGGAGGGCGGGCACAACACTGGCTGAAAAGAAACACCGTATCCATACGTACAACCCTCTTGTGCATATAGGTTGGTTTTCGGTTGTTGGGTCTCTGGAGCCACTGAAATCTTGTCCCAGCGTGAGCAACCACTGCAGTTAGCGAGCCGGACGCCGGTTGGGGCGGGACAGCTGAGGCTAGGTCTGCGCGCCAGGGCGTTCCCGACTGTGCCGCGCAGAGCCCGCCAGCCTCGCGGAGCAGCCCGTGGACGCTCGGCCCTGGCCCGCAGTGGGAGACAGACTGACTAATAGGTCCCAGACGGAGGCCCTTGCCACCTCTGGGCGACCTCCTCTCGCTTTCCCTCGGAAACTGGGTAACAAGGTCTGAGAAGGAGCCTGGGATCGTGAAGTCCCAAGGTGAGCGCGTTTCCCGCTCCGCGATCTGTGAGGGGTAACGCGCCTGCTGAGCTGCGCCAAGTTTGTGCGGGGAAAAAAACTGGAATCTGTCTCCTTCACTCGCTTTCCAAAACAATACTAATAATGGTTAGAAGGAGTGAGCAGAAATCAAGGACATCCTCTCCTAACCCTGAACCAAGTATGTATGACCCAGCAGTTTCAGAGAGCTCCTGGCTGAGGTTTTACTTGCATGGGTAAAGAGGTTGCCACAAGCATCAGCCAGAAGGTGCGCCTTCTTGCCGGCACGGAGGTCTCCCTCGCCTCCATCCTTCTTAGTCTTTGGCCGGTCCCTGGCGCGGATACCTAGGAGGCCCTCAGTGAGGGTCGTAGTCCAGAGAAAACGCAGGGTCCCAAGGCCTGGCGCTGTCCCTGCGCCTGCTGGCTGGGGAGCCCCGCGCGAGTCTCATTTGACAATGTTTTCGTCGAGGACCCCCCGTGCCTCTCCCAGGTCGCCACAGGTATGACCTGAGCGCGTCTTCGAAGACTGGTGAGAGGCTGGGAGTGCGAGGAAGCGCAGATTCAGGAAGCGAGATTCCGGAGATTGCTTGAATACTACGGAAACTTCAGGTTAGGTTCCCTCAAACCGGTGGTTACACACCGCGAGGAGCTTGGAGGCAAAGGGTTCAATAGTCAAGTTGGTGGGGACTTTCCCTACTTAAAGTAATAATTTACTAATTCGGATCTATTGCTTTTAAATATCGAGTTCCAGAGACTTCTGTCAATACAGGCTTAATTTCATCCTACTGATGAAGGATGTTTATAAACGGCTCCTGTGGTGAAAGCCGAGTGTGAAAATATCAGTTTTATGCCTTTTGATAAGAATTGCCGAGGTGGATGGCTTATTAGGCGATTACCAACTTCGCAGCTGCATACAGCCCAATTGGGAAGCTCTTCTCAGAGAGTGGAAACCGTGGGGGTCAGGGAGGGTTGCTGCTCCCACTCTTCAGCCCCGGACCTCCAATCAGGCCTGGCTCTATGGGACCCCTTCCCTGACCACCTGTGGCTTTAAGGGAACACAACCAGCGTCTCCCAGCTTGCCCCTGCGCCTCCCCAATCTCTCTGGTTTACTTTCCCCCAGCTTTGCAAAGAGCCCTGAGTCCAGGGGTGTTGCTTTTGCTCCTGGGTGAGCTTGCGCTCTCTTATTTTCATTTAAGGAGAACTGGCCATCTAGAAATGCCAAGCTAGTAGGTAGGAATCTTCCCCAAAAGGGCGGTTCCCCTTCCACCTTCAGACACACAAGATGTTTTTGGCCTGTCGTCCGTCGTTCGACCAAAATTGGTCTCAACTGGAGTTTGGGCTAAAAAAATCCCCTCATTATAAAGACAAAAAAGAGTTCTAACTTTTAGCACAAGCACCTAATGTAAGAAGAGGTACTCTACAAAGCAGCACGCGAACTTTTCCTTTGCCCCAACAGAGGTGAGTGGGTAAGAGGTGTGACAGGAGCTCCAAGAAGCCGGGGCACGGTGCAGGAGCAACCCCTCTATGCTTACCCCTGACGAGGAGTCTGAAGTTTTTGAGCCCAGAACGCGCGGAACTCTAAGGCCCGACGTTCACAACAAATACCTGCACATTCCCCTCCTCCCACCTCCACATGAACCCCCAGCCAAAGGCTTAAACCACCTGGGAGGCAGAGTAGACTCACCGCCCCGAAGCCTACAGAGCAAGGCTGCGTGCGCACAAGACACCCCGGGAAAGGTCCGCGTTCTGCCGGGCGCCAGGAATAAAGCGGACGCCGGATAGTCTTCTTATGTCTGACGACCGACCATTTTTCTTCACTAAGCCCAGAAGCCTCTAAAAATGAATCATTTCCTCCACTTATGCAGAGATAGGCGCTCTTAGATCAAGATTAGTATTTCGAAAATCTGATTGAGAGCCACCTGATTAGGCGAGGGTGGGTGGAAAGACCGTATAAACGCCTGCGCCCCCTCCCTACTTCCCAAAACAGCTCCAGCGCTCTCCAGATCTCCAAATGACCCAAGAGATTAATTCTCCTAGAGAGTAGCCAAACAGTACCCCAGATTCATTTTGCAGACCCTAACAAATAGAAAATGTAACTGAATCTCCGAACGGGATCTTTATTTTTATTTCCATTCTAAATGCTGCTCTATACAGGGCCTGATAAAGTCAACGTTCTGCACGAATCCCTTTTTATTCGAAAGAGCCATCTCTAGACTGATGCTATTTCATGGAAAATGCATTATATGGATTTTTCCAAAAACGACTTTTTGCACTTAATGAAAAACACAAATGTTTCTGTTCTCCACGCACAGGTTAGCCTTGCGAGAAGTTAGTCTACCCCAAACCTTCAATTCTGCAAGAGGCCACTGATTAATCATAGCGTATCCCTCCCCCACTCCCTAAATTTAAGCGAAATCTCCCAGAGAGGAACGGCGGCTTTGGGTGGGTGGTGGTGCCTAATATTAACGTGTGCGCAGCTGTGCAAAAAGAAACACAATGGGATAGGAAAATGCTCTAGGGACCCTTGTGTTTGTGGGAGAAAAATGCAATTAGGGAAAAACTAAATTTGTAGTTGTTGCTCGTTCACAGATTGTTATACAGTCTCACTTCATCACGGGAAGTCTACCTCTCTCTGCTCACTGCCCCTCCTGTTTGGTCTTTCTTTTCCAGACAAATAAGGCAAGGAGATAAGGATATGTGTGTGTGTGTGTGTGTGTGTGTGTGTGTGTGTGTGTGTGTGTGTGTGTGATCGGAGCAACAGCACATGATTTTGTTAAAGGCCTTTAGGTAACAGATTCCCACGTAGTCTTATATTTCATATGTTTCAGAAGTTTGCATTGTTTTGTTTAAGAGAAAATTGAAAATAAAAATTATTGTTAAATAGTCTCTTACCGAAGTCCCCTTTGTACACGAAAATAATGAAGTAAAATGTATACCATAAAGACGCTATTTAAACAAATAGGTCCCCCCCAGTTCTAATCAAAATTCCGGTACTCTGAGAACACCCTCCGCTTTCCCAACCCCCCTTCTGCAAACCCGCAGTCAAAATTTGAGTGAGGAACTGGCCGCTTCTAGGGCTTAAATTTTGTACAGGACAACATGAAAGAGCAATATTATAAGCAACATACTTTTGTCTGTCTTGTAGCCTTGATTTCAAATCTAGTCGCAAATCATAAGCTTTTGTGCTGCTCAGATGTTCCCTCTTTATCTTAAAGAGAAAACTTTTCGCAAAGAGAGAGAGAACCGCTAGATAAGTCAACCCCCAGGCTGCCAGGGCGCAGTCGAGTTCCTCCGCTACACAGGAGAGTTGCGCATTGTAAGAGAATGACTAAAACGTTCAAGTCACCCAGACCTCCGCTTCCCTTTCTGTTTGCTGCAGAAAATGATGTAACCTGAATCTTTGTTTAGGTTTTGGTTGGAGAACGAGAATTAAAAAGCCACGGCAAATGCAGAGAGCAGATTTTTGTTTTTAAGTTAACAGGCCATTCCCAATGGATGTTTTTTCCTTTAATACTAAATCTGGAGTAAGTTGGCTTGTCCTGATAAAGATCTTAGCATGTATAGAAGGCGGGTTTTCCTTGAGGAGGTGAGGCTATTCCTCCAGAAAAAAACTTTCCCTCCCACCCCCACCTCTTTCCCTCCCTTCATGTAAGGTTCCACCCTCTGGAAAACAGAACTCCCCCCCCCCCTTTTCCTGGAGGGAAAGACCACAGTGAAGTTGAGAAAAGAATCTTAGGAAGAGTCCATCAGAGAGTGCTTACGGCCACAGCGGCCTCTTTGGACGAAGACTTACTTAGAGGCTTCTTGCTCGCTCGGTGGTGTCAGCTTTTATTTGTGCATTGGGGCGGGGGAGGGGGAAGATCGGCAGACGCGGACAGCCTCTGACCCTCTGGAGTTGGTATGTGATAAGCAGCCCTAGCAGTGCCATGTATTGGAAAAGCGATCAGATGTTTGTGTGTAAACTAGAAGAAAAGGACGTGCCGGAGCTGGCAGTTCCCTCTGAGAAGGTGAGCGAGCCGACGCCTGGCCAGACCAGCTGAATTGCAGTTTCCTTGAAAGGCGAGCTATTTGGGCTCTTAAACCAGGTTCAGAAATTACCTGTAACAGCCTCATCTTCAGAGCTGGCAATTTTTTTTTATTACGTAGTAGCGTTAGTCAGTAATCATTGCCTACCCTTCCCACAAGCTCACTTAACCTGAGGTATGGAGACTGTAATTTGGGAGACGAAGCCTCGAGCCTAGGGCGTTCTCGGGTACATGTGAGTCGTGCTTTTGTTCTATTTGCCGTGGTGATCTTGGCGGTCGGGTAAAGCGAGTCGGGAGGTCGGGGTGGCTCCCGGGTGGGACCAAACAGACGCGCGGCTGCTCGCGCCCTGCTGCCGAAGGACGCCTGCCGGCCCTAAGACGCGCCTCCCGCCGCGGGGAGTTCCGCACCGCTGAGGGCCCACCGCGAAGCATTCGAGGTCGGGGCACCTGGAAGGCCTCGGGACATCCCCGGGCAGTCCAGGAAGGCCAGTTTATTTAAAATATCAAAAGAGGCAAACTCTAGGGCAAGGGAGTCTCTCCGTTGGTGGAGTAGATGAGAGAAACTGACAAGCTCTCATCTTACTCTAGAGGCAGAACCGTGGCTGTCTCGCGTTTTATTTCGAAAACCATCTGTAGCCTGTTCGAGTGCCTCAGCGGAACCCACACGGGGCACCGCTGACTTTGCCTTTGCTCGGACGCTGGCTGGGAACACACAACGGACGCGGGGCTTCTCTGCTTAAACTCTGTATAAAGTCTGCGGGGACGCGGCCTCTGGGCTGCCGCGGGAAGTCCGGGCCAAGAGACCGGAGAACTCTAGGATTTGGACGGTGCCTCTCCTGGTGCTGCCAGAGAGAGAAAAGGAAAGAGGCGAAGAGTCAGAAATGCGAAGATGTGGGTCTCTCGAGCTGGGGCTCCCCTACCCCCCAAGCTAGAGTTTTCGAAAAGGCAGGCAGAAAAAGCCCACAGAGGTAGCGCTTTTCGTTAAAGAACAAAACTCCAGCAAAGGCTTGAAAACACTTGGGAAATGCGCTTTGTTGCTTTAAAATATTTTGACCCAGGTTGGGTGAGTTTTTTTAATGGCATAAATTAGATTCAGCTGGATATTTTCCATTATTCGACTAGCTTTTTTGCTCTGGTTAAAAATAATCCTTTAGTAGCTCAAATGTTGACTTACTAAGCAATGAGTGGCAATTTACACCTTAAAGAAACAAGTGTAAATCACTCGCAGCTCTAATTGCTGTAAGTTTACGAAAGAGCTGCTGGCTCGGTTTAATCTGAAGCATTTTCATTCAAATTGTCATCGGAACAAACACCAGGCTTCTTAAATCCCGCTGTAATTAGCTTTCAAGTATCCTATTAAACCTCTTCACCTTTCGGGCTATCCAATTCAAAAAGCCCCCTTTTAAAAATATATATGTGTCTTGTTCTTTTAATTGAGGTTATTAAAGAAATCAAGTTTGTTCCCCCACCCCCCTCCTCAACCCTCTTTTCTTCTCTTCCACTCCACCCCCCACCCCACCCAGTGCACCCGCTACAGCGCGGTGATCTCCACTCCGCAGTGATTGACATCTAGAAAGAAAATGCTTTGTGCTGGGATGATTGTTATTAACTTGTTACCCCCGGCAGGGGGGCGGGGAACCGACGTGCTCCGGTGAGGTCTCGGGATCCGGAGCCCCGAGAACGCCGCAGAGAGCAGGGCGAGCCCTGGGGGTTCCGGTGGCCGCCTCGCCGCGCCCTGGGGCTGTGCCGCCACCGCCCGGGGCGGGTTAGCAAGGCTGCGCGCCCGCCGGGGCCCAGGAGCCCTAACGGCTGCAAGCGCGGCCCGGCGCGCTGGGTGCCTTCATTAGCTGCGCCGCGTGCGGAGAAGCTGAGGCTCTGGGACGTGCGTGCAGACTCTGAACCTGTGTGTTTCTCCCCTTTTTCCCCCGCTTCCGCCCGCAGTGCCAGGGGCTCATGTCAGAAGAGTGCGGGCGGACTGCTGCCCTGGCGGCCGGGAGGACTCGGAAAGGCGCCGGGGAAGTGGGACTGGTGAGTGGGGAGGGACCCGGGTGCTGGCGAGATGGCAGCGAGGAGGCGGCCCGGAACGATAGGCCAGTGTGACCGCGTTCCTTCCCGAGCCCGAGCAGCCCCTCGGGCAGCTCGTGGAGGGAGGGTCTGGGGCGGGGCGGAAAGCTGAGCAGGCGCGGCGAGCTGGGCAGGTCTGTAACGCACGCCGGGCCGTGGAGGTCAGGGGCCCTCAGCCCCAGCGGGTGCGTGGCGGGACCTTGGATTCCGGGGAGAGGGCGTGAAGCGAGACCTTATGAACTTGGGGTGACCTGGGGGAGCCCCGCAGGTCGGTGGGATGAGGAAAGGTGGAGGGGTCTAGAACCGCCTGCGACGCGCCTCGCGGCTTCCTGCAGGTTAGCCCCGAGGGAGCGGGGGACGAGGATTCGTGCTCCTCCTCGGCCCCGCTGTCCCCGTCGTCCTCGCCCCGGTCCATGGCCTCGGGTTCTGTCTGCCCTCCTGGCAAGTGTGTGTGCAACAGCTGCGGCCTGGAGATCGTGGACAAGTACCTTCTCAAGGTAGGGCAGAGCCGAGAGGCTGGGGGTTACCCTGCGAGCTCTGGGAAGAGAAATGTAACCCCCTCCCTCTTCCATTTAAGGTGTCACTCAAGGTTGTAGGTTTTCTCCGCAAAATAGCCCAAGCAAGGGCCCCTTATACAGTGGCAGCGAGTGGGAGAATCTCCCGTGTTGTTGCAGAATGGCTTGTGTGTGACACGTCGTGGTCTAGAAGTGCCAGTAACTCGGAAAACCTTACCCATTCTGCAGCAGGGTCCTACTGGTTATTTTTTACTGAGCCTCGGGTTATGGCCCCTCCACCCGCAGTAACACTCACACACCTGCCTGCCTCTGAGAGCTCCACATGAGTATATGTTGACTGGATTCCCTTCTCACTGTCTCCTTTACTGAGAAACATCGTAAAAAAAAAAAAAGTGTCTTTAGAGGGTCTTTTCTGGACAGAATTTTTCCATGGTCTTATGTTCACTTACAGTTACCTAGGGCTTTTCCAAAGCAGCATTTAGCAGGAGAATTTAAATAAAAAAGTTTCAGTACCTTCCTCCTTTTATTAAGGTTTAATACTTGGAGGACACTTAGTGCTTTTTTCTATGTCATCTCCAGTGCACGGGGAAAAAAATGTAAACTGATGCAAAATTAGACCAGACCAAAAAAAAAAAAAAAAGGAGAGAAAAAGAATAGAAAATGCCTTGGATGAAATGCTTCAAGTGGTTTGAGAGATGACTGTTTTAATTTTACTTCTCTCTTAAAATACTGTGGGGGAGCTTTGGAGCAGAAATTTTGGCAAGCCACAGTAATCCATGTCATTGCACACAGGATCGTGGTCCCATGTGTCTTAATCCTAATACCATGGGTTTTCAGTCTAAATAGCTCTTTAAAAACCACTATTTAGAATAATCTCTCCTACACTGAATTAGTGCAGACAATTCACTTTTTTATTTCCTCCCCACCAATCCCCTCTTATCCCTTGCCCCATTTTTCAAAAGGGTTAATTGTGGAGAGTATGAGTTGAAAAAGCAAGTTAGTGGGCTTCTTTAAATTTCTACCTCAAAGTCCAAAGCTGCTTTCTGTAAAGTGGGAATGATACCCTGTAGAGAAACCCAGAAAAAATACCTAAAGAAGATTTGGTGAAAATACTAGTAAGTGACTAATATAACCTTAATTGGTGGTTGATTCTGAAAGCTGGCAAATTAACATGGCTTTCTCTTTAAATCTGCATTCTTAAAATCACTTTTTCAATGTCTCTAGACCTGAGAAATTTGGTTATATCAAAATCATCTTTTGGATCAAAACTAGCTTCTTATTTTCAATGAGCCTTCTCAATAACTAGCATAATCTTTAAAAATGTTTCTAAATGGATCTGTAAAAGGCTTAACACTTCATAGCAGAGAGGATATAGAAAAAAAGGTTATTATAAAGTAACTTAATACACCCTCTCAGATAAGTGTCTAATATTCATCTTTTATATGTTAAAAATATATATACTTGCATTATATAAAATACCTAAGTTATCTAAATGAGTAATATAAAGCTTTGTTATAGGACTGGAGTCCTCCCAGTGAAGTCTTCTATGTACAGTCTTATTCTACTCCTCCTTGTACATATTAGTGTATTAGCTCTAACTAAAGTTTGAGACTATATGATTATGTAAAAACTCTGAGTTCTTTTCTCTCCATTTGAGTACTTATTCTTCAGGTAAGTTTGAATTCAATTAAAGTCATTGGTAACAAGTAACTGTTAGACCTAGTAAAGTATCTGAGGGTATACCTGAAATACTGGTATAGTACAGAAAAACAACATCTCATGAAGCAAGTAAAATGTACTTAGAATAGAAAAGTATGAAAGGAGTTACATGTATTTACTGTACCATCTAATACTTCAGTGCCCTGTCATTTGGGTGGTTTTTCTGGCCTGGTTCTGTATGTGTGCCCACGCTTGTATATACACACACTCATATTGAAAGATTGGATCAATACCAGCCATCAGGGAAGATTTATGTCTTCCAGAATTTTCTCCCTTCACCTTACTTTTTACTTTCCTCTCCCCCTGGAAAAGAAATGGAAGATGAAGCAAGGCTTATTTATTTATTTTAAAGTAAAAGGTGACAATTCAGGCATTAGGTTTACCTTTGACCATGACTCTGCCCTGAAGCCTGAATCTACCCTTGTGGGTTTTTTGTTTGTTTGTTTGTTTGTTTTTAAAGAGCCTGAATAAGATCAAAATGCAGAAGGCCCAAACAGTAGAATTCTAAAGGAAGCCAGTACATCTAAGCTTAAACTGAATTGGCCCACTTTAGGAAATAATAGAAGGAAAATACATTATTGTTTCCAGTTCAATATTGACAGTTGTTATTTTTTATTCTGATTTCCTCAGATTGTTCTCTGTTATATTTTTGCTATTTTCTGTTTTCTTGTATAGTGAGTGTACAGTTCTTTTATGCCAAGACCAAAACTTAAAATTTCTTTAATTTCACCAAAATGATATTCTCATTAATGCTTTGGTAAAAGGCACATGACTGTAATTAGAAGCCAATGAAAATGTTTTCTTCAGCTTCAAAATACCTTTTACATTTCACATTACAGACAGTTGTTTTGAACAGTAGAATTAATCTGATAGAATTGGACTGGTAGTCTATTATGAAATAATATAGCAAAAGATATTTTAGAATTTTTCATTTTTCCAATTTCCTATTTTAGGCATTAGATCCATTTATAGGGTATAACTGTGCTTTGCATCATTGCTGTTCTTTTACATAAAATGCTATTATGCTGTTCTTTTACATGAAATGAAATTATGCATAATTAAGTATAAATCTAGTTCTTGTTTCCATTTTACAAGAGCAAACTTTTGGAGTCTGTATTACAGGCTGGTTCCATCCAACACATCTTCATTCTTGAAGGATAAAGTTGTATTGTTTATTGTATACTGATAACAGTTTAAGGTGAGGGTAATTATGATTTGCTTCCTGAATTGACAATATTTCATGTTCCTATTTAGAACACAAAGTGCTGAGATCTATCAACCACTATTTTATGCCTTACTACTTGAAATATAAATATCAAACAATGTGTGGGTGCCTTTTGAACCACTTATAACCAGATGTATTTTTTCAACAGTAGCCAAAAAATTAAGTAGGGTTACCAATACTTTACTCCTTAATTATATTATTTAATGTTAGAAGGGAACCAGGGCTTTGGCTATATCAACATTTAAATTTACCTTAGCAATTTCTGTTTTCTAAGGAAAATGGATTGCCTGGCTTCTTTAAAAGGGCACCTTACACTTTATCCCTCTCTCACTTTACCTGGTGCACAGTTTATAATTATTTGGTCAAAAAGTAAATCGAGAAGTTGCATGACTTGACTTCTTTAGCTAACAGGTTTTATAGTGGAATTTGGTAAAAGAAAAAATAAAAACAAACCTTTATGTAGGACTTTAAAAATGACCAAAATTTTCCCTGTGTTCATAGAAGTTTGATTTCAGAAAGGAAAAAAAAGACTGAATTCTTCAAGGGAATAAAAAGAGCTTTAAACACAAAACATAGGAAATGCTATTGTGATTTTTTGGTTGAGGTCTAAAAGAATATATCTCCATTCATATTTGCATAAATAATTTGTATAAGTTTGTATAAATTCTTTTTAGATGGAAACAGAGCATGTGTTAAAATATTAAGCCAGTTTTTTAAGTTAATACACAAAACCAATGAATGATATTCCTAAATGCAGTATTAAAATGGCTTCTTAATCTGCCCCTTTTTCCTTCACAGGTGAATGACCTGTGCTGGCATGTTCGGTGTCTCTCCTGCAGTGTCTGCAGAACCTCCTTAGGAAGGCATACCAGCTGTTATATTAAAGACAAAGACATTTTCTGCAAACTTGATTATTTCAGGTATACTGAATTTTTTTTTAATAGACACTCCAAGAGGTTATCATGTAAAGAGAATTTTGTAAGTAGGTCTTCTTGTCTAGTTTTATTTATTGAATTCCAGTTTTTCTTATACAATGGATTTCAAAGTGAGAATGCTTCATATTTTTGAGATATAACTTATATTAAAATAAATATGTTTATATATGTTTTAGGAATTCAACATACTAAAACAAATTTTAAATAATTACTTCCAGTTTAGAGAATGAAAGTTTTAGATACTAAAATGGAAACTTCTTGCTGTTCATAGGTATAAAATGTAAAATATGACACTGTGACAGAACCCCTTGTTGGGGGAGTGATAAGACAAATTAAAGTAATTATGGGAGGATAAATATTAAGATTTTGTTAAGCTTTTACCATTTTATTATAGAATGATCCCTAGTTATACACCTGTAAAATGTCAGCAGTTTGGAGACTGTGATAAACTATATTATTTAGAAGAATTGACTATTGCAGTATCAGAAATACAGCAGATCTGATTATTCTGCCTAAAAATCCTGTTTCTTTTTGTCTATTATTTGATCATTGTTTTATGACATTATATTTGCCTAAGATATTAAATGTAACATTTTCTCTGCATGATCTCTTTATAATTGTTTAAATGCAAAGTGTCTTATAGGTTATAATTCAATTCCTAATGGATAGAAATTGAAATCATCCTTAAGCATGACTTTTAAGAATTACCATATTTTTTCTTTATTTCCATTTCCAAGTGAAAAAAAATGTTCATTGTGAAATTGGGAAATTAATACTATATAATGAAGTTTATAATAGTAATTAGTTGTTTACGCTCAATTTCAAAAACTGGTTTCAGAGAGTTTAATAGATTCATTTGAATAAGATTGCTAGGTAATTTAAATCACTTCATAGAACTCAGGTTCCTTTACTTGGTAAAGTTACAGAATTTTGTAGTTACCAGAAACATATTTCTCATCAGGTCTACTCTCCATTTCCTTAAAAATAGTATCAATATTCTTCCTCTTTCACTTAGGATATGATAATCTTAATATTTTTAATGGTAATTTAAAGTCCTTTGAAATATTTGGTTTCAGAGACTTATTGACAGCCTAGTTCTTCAGGATTTTTTCTACTTAAGATTTTATCATACTCTGAAATTAATTTTAGGAGTCAGATTTTCGGATTAACTTATTTTTAAATTCGGCAATATTTTTAAAGATATGTTAACAAAAACAGACACATATGCTTATTTAGTTTGATGTGCATAGGCCGGGCCTTGACTATCAATGTGTTACAAGACATGACAAAGAATGTTCAGTTACTCAGACTGGAAGAAAAAAGAAATATTTAAATTCAGCATTTTGTTACAGTTAACCTGCACTTAATGTGCAGTTAGTGTATCTGATAGTTGTAGATAATATATCCCGCAGGTTAGAAATGCAATAGCTTTTTCACCAAAGGAAACATTTCTGAGTTTTCCTCACCCCCAGAGTGAACAATTTCTGTTCTACCCATTCTTTGACAATATCAATTTGAAATGTTTATGTATTAATTTAAAAAAAGTTTCAAGCATTTTCTAATTATTTCAACTTGATTTTAAGAAGTGATCATTTATCTCTTCAGTAATGTATTTTTGCACTTTGAGATTTCAATCTGGAATGTGTGTGTGATATATGTGTTTGTATCTTGATTCTCTAGGTAATTTATAAATTTTGTTACAAGAGAAATGTTGAAGCTCATATTTCATTTATTTTAAAATAAAAAGTGCAGCCTTCCTTTAATGTAACAATAAGTTTCTGTTCTATAAACAGATTTAAATTATGACCTTATCTCAAGTCTTAGTTGCTTACAATATTGCCTTTTAGAAAAATAATTGATTCCTGTTTTATTTTTAAAAGATTTAAATACTTAGGTTAATCCACTGAGTGATAAATGTGTTAATTTATTCTTAGATTGATGAATATCTCAGCAAGCATTAAAATCTTTGCCTTCCACCTTCCTATTTGTATAGAAGGTATGGAACTCGCTGCTCTCGTTGTGGAAGGCACATCCACTCAACTGACTGGGTCCGGAGGGCCAAGGGGAACGTCTATCATTTGGCATGCTTTGCCTGCTTTTCTTGCAAAAGGCAACTTTCCACAGGAGAGGAGTTTGCTTTAGTGGAAGAGAAAGTCCTCTGCAGAGTGCATTATGACTGCATGCTGGATAATTTAAAAAGAGAAGTAGAAAATGGTAAATATATGCTAAAGTAACTTTGAATCTTTTGGGACAGTGAATACAGGGATAAAACGATTTTTCCTAAGGTTATCTTCATGTATTTTTTTGGTGCAGTTTAATTGTGATAAAACTCATAAAGGACTTGACTGTTAGCGATGGTCTCCATCTGTTTATTTACAGAGAAATCCATGGCATGTGTATTAGCCTTGTGCCATTTTTCTCAGGCAGCAGCCTTGAGTTTAGAGTTCTGTTTTGATTCTGTAACCAGTTTCCCTCTATTTGCCTCCCTCAGGATGAACTGTAGGTGTGCATTTCTAACTTTTTGCACTCTAAATAAACAAGCCTATAAATGGAATATTATTTCCACAGTGTATTTCTAGTATGTTTTAAAACTTAAAAGGTCTGGCAATGTAGAAGATGTATACAGTTTCATACCAAGCCAAGAGTTGCAAGAAACCTATAATTGCATGGACTGGTAGACTCATTTGAGTTATCAACATGTGTGGTGTGTTTTTTGAATTCAGGTAATGGGATTACTGTTGAAGGCGCAGATAAATGTGTTAATTTATTCTTAGATTGATGAATATCTCAGCAAGCATTAAAATCTTTGCCTTCCACCTTCCTATTTGTATAGAAGGTATGGAACTCGCTGCTCTCGTTGTGGAAGGCACATCCACTCAACTGACTGGGTCCGGAGGGCCAAGGGGAACGTCTATCATTTGGCATGCTTTGCCTGCTTTTCTTGCAAAAGGCAACTTTCCACAGGAGAGGAGTTTGCTTTAGTGGAAGAGAAAGTCCTCTGCAGAGTGCATTATGACTGCATGCTGGATAATTTAAAAAGAGAAGTAGAAAATGGTAAATATATGCTAAAGTAACTTTGAATCTTTTGGGACAGTGAATACAGGGATAAAACGATTTTTCCTAAGGTTATCTTCATGTATTTTTTTGGTGCAGTTTAATTGTGATAAAACTCATAAAGGACTTGACTGTTAGCGATGGTCTCCATCTGTTTATTTACAGAGAAATCCATGGCATGTGTATTAGCCTTGTGCCATTTTTCTCAGGCAGCAGCCTTGAGTTTAGAGTTCTGTTTTGATTCTGTAACCAGTTTCCCTCTATTTGCCTCCCTCAGGATGAACTGTAGGTGTGCATTTCTAACTTTTTGCACTCTAAATAAACAAGCCTATAAATGGAATATTATTTCCACAGTATATTTCTAGTATGTTTTAAAACTTAAAAGGTCTGGCAATGTAGAAGATGTATACAGTTTCATACCAAGCCAAGAGTTGCAAGAAACCTATAATTGCATGGACTGGTAGACTCATTTGAGTTATCAACATGTGTGGTGTGTTTTTTGAATTCAGGTAATGGGATTACTGTTGAAGGCGCCCTTCTCACAGAGCAAGATGTTAATCATCCAAAACCAGCAAAAAGAGCTCGGACCAGCTTTACAGCAGATCAGCTCCAGGTAGACATGACAATCAATTTATGATTTTTGATGCCCCTCCCCACCAAAACCAACCACGCAACTAAAACACTCTGAAAAACCCAAAACAACAAAAACTTCCATGCTGTCCAAAAACATCTTCATGTTATCAAAAATGTTAGCTTGTGCTTTTTGTGAAAACTAACTTGGTGAATATATGAAAACATACATGTTGCCCTAAAATTTTTTTTTTGATATTCTAGAGCGTCATGATCTGATATGAACTAGTCATTCAGTTTTTGTTTCCCTGGGATCTATTGGTATTAACATCAAAGTGGAAACAAAAGGTCGATCTGTTCTGACTTCCTGATAAAATGAATTTAACCAAAGCATTTACATTACAAAATCTTTTGAGATTCTTAACAGAAAAAGACATACAATATGTGGATCTATGAGAAACTAATGTGTTCGTCTTTTTGACAGAATGAAAAGAGCCTTTTAATGGTTAAGATTATGTATTTTCTGAGTAGGAGAGAATTGAATAAGCTTTATTATAAATAGGGATCTACTTACTGACTCAAATCAAGTTGACACTTTCTTGTATTTAAAAAGGATACAAGGAGATAATTCTATAATTTGATGCTGAAGGTTGATTATATCCCCTGGAAAAGGAGGGATTATTTTCAGTCTGAAAGCCTTAAATATAATTTTATAAGTATAATTTATGCAAATTATCAAGAAAACAATTACTTCCTGCTTCATCTTTAAGTCTACACATATAATGACTCTTCTGGCATTTTTTTCAGATAAGAAATCACATTTTCTAAAAGATTAATGTGGCTGAGGTATTTGTTTTATGTTAAGGTAAAGTAATATTTGTGGAGCACCTACCAGCCTACTACATATTGCTAGGTGCTTTACACATTGTATCCATCTTAGCTCAGACTTTAAAGGATATTTATGCAATGTTAACACATGAGTGAAAGTAATTTATTGAAAAATCAAATAGAGTATTCTAAGACTTGCCAGAATTTAAGATAAATATCATAAATGTGTTTCAGGAGGAAATTTTTATTTTGAAACTGATTAAGAAAGAAACCTCGATGTGACACAGATATTCCAAGGGAATTTAGTGGTGCTAGAAAACAATCTAGCAACAAAATCTAGATTCATTCTAAAAAATTTCCAATCTATGTCAGACATATTGTCTGCATTATCTCCTTTAACAGCAATTCCTTGACATAGGTAGCCTCATCCAAAAGGTACAGAAACTCCCCTCAAGGCAGACCACCAAGGCAATGGGATAGAAGAGATTTGGGTTCTGCTTCCCAAATCTTATGGCTTCTGGGAGACCATGAGTGGGGCTGTGCCTTAACAAAACTCCACTAAATGGCAGCAGTAGTTAAAACAAGAGTGAGATTCTGAATCTTATAGGTAACCTTACAGTTTTAGATCACAAACACATAAGCTATTTGGGCCATGCATTATTATATGAAAATATATGAAATGATACGCAAATCTGAGTCATAAGTTTTAAAAAATGTTTATCAGAGTCATAGGTTTTAAAAATTTTAAGTAGAAGCAATATGCTTTCAAAGCATGTTTTCATCTATTCAGTATTTATTAGGATCTACCTTAGGCCAGGGGTGGCTGAAACAAATGAAATACAATCTTTGACCTCAGTGCCTTATAATTTAGGAATCTGAGATACCTGTAGATTTTTTAAAAACTTGAGTCATCATATTTTGCCAGAACCTCTAATAAATCAGGCAATGTACTCTCATTATCAAATTGTCCTACCTTTCAGAAAGGTGAATATATTCAGGTAGTACCTGAATTCAACAAAATAAAATGATCAGTTAGTTGAGACTATTATGAAGTAGCTGCTTTGGACAGAGGAGAGTTAAAATGTAAGGAGGAAAGATCATTTTCCAAAATTCTTCTTTAGAAACTTATGGGAAGAAAAAATAGTTCAAGACTTACAAAATAGAACAATACTTTGTGTTGGCAAAAATACTGCAAACATTGTCTCACTTGTAGAAATGATATTTAACAACTTCCTGCCAATATTATGGTATGCTTATTATACTTGGAAGCACTTAATGATTATTAATATTAAACATGCAAAGGTTAGCACATACTTTAGTCCATTTTCAGGTTGATCTGGTCAGCTGCTATGCAGACTCCTGTTATTCATGGTAGATTTCCTGGCCTTGAAATGATGAGTGCCTGCAGAGGTGTACTCTTTGACCACATTAAAAGAGCTCAGAGAAGGAGGGGGGTGGCTTCAGCATCATTAGAGACTGGAGAGATAACAAAATTAAGTAGAAATTAAAAGGTTTTTTTCCTGAAACTAAACATAAATCAAGCACATCTTTTCCTTTAGCATATTCCATGTCTAAGCCATCAGGATTCATTTAAGTTTTGCTTTATTCCTTGATGACAAATTACTTTATTAAATGTAATTTAGTTCCATTATTAAACTTGTGAATTTGAAATTCATTTGTGAAAAGCATGCTATTTTTGTCTTATAAATTATCATAATGGCCTTATAGGCAAATCCTTAAATATCTATTCCACTTGTCTCCTTGATAAATTAAAAAACAAAGACATAGTTTACTCATTCTTTTTTCTCTTTAGGATGTTATGTGCTCAACTACGTATAAACACAACTCTGCACATGAAGATATTAAAGTAACACATTTGGAATAGGAAAGGAAGAATTAAGTGAACTGAGTGAAATGATAAACTTTTAGGCTGATTCTGCCTGTTTTTTAAAGTAAAAATATATGTGCTGTTTACAGTGAGCATGTGGATATAGTTGGACAGAAAGCCAGGAATTCCTTATTCCAGAATAGTCACTAATCTTGGAGAACTTTAAAAAATTATATGATTTTATAAACCTCTAAGATTTCTCAGAGCAACACTTATCTTTGACTCCACACTATCTTCAGATTTTCCTCACATTGTCAAGGTTCATTCACTGTGTCACAAACTCTTCAGTGCATACCAAGTGATAGGAAGAGAGATTAACTCCTGGGGATGTGAAGAGTAAGAGGTTTCCCTCAAGAAACTCACTTTTTGCTGTGGAGAGCTAGAATTGCTAACGGATTACTTAGCTACCCTGTGACAAGTGCAGTGGCTGCGGGTATTACATGAGGAGCGTCGTGGAGAAGGCGGTTCATTTTGCCTGTTGGAAAAGCTGTGGAGGCCAGTGCTGCTGGGTCTTTGAATAGATTGGTCACACCCGTTCTATGCTGGGACATGCACACTCATGTTGGATGCCAGACTCCCCTCTCTCATTCTTCATAATACTTTCTTCACATATTCTAATACTGCCTTCGATTGATTGACCTTTAAGTAATAAAACTCAAATACCTCACTTGATTCCCATGATTCCCTTTTCTGAAAGAATCCAAAGCCCTTGGTTTGTGCTGTTATTAAATGGGTACTCCTTGACCCACTCCACACCTCCCCCTTCACCTTCTATTGGTGGTGGTTATTGGCATGTCTGTATCTTTCTCCTAGGAAGTTGAGACCAGAAGAGTTTTTTTATGTTTCACTATCTCATTGCACTTAACACAGTGTTTCCAATCCAAAAGTTCACATTAGGACCACCTGTGTACCTTTTCCATACAACTGATGTTTAGATCTTGGACAATTCTTATTCACTGGGTTGATGGGCATCTATTACGATCCCAAATATTCCTTTGCATAGAGTGAGTGCTCAAAACAATTAATGATGGAGTCATTATCTGTTGCTCTGTGTACTACTTGCAGACTGATAAAAATTGTGGTAGGGGCCTTCAACATGTTTAGCTCAGTAGAAGTTGGGCATAAATGTGGTACTATTTTTGTATTTTTTTAAATATTCTAATGTTAGCAATTTTTAACAAAAGAATAGTAAATAGACATTTATGCTTTTGTGGGTTGTGAAAATGGAAGAAAAGAAAAGGTGAGCTTATAGAATTATCATGTATATAAATGTTGAATCACTGTGTTGTACACCTCACCTGAAACTAATGTAATACTGTGTGTCAACTACCCTTCAATAAAAAATAATTATCTACAAAAAAAGAAAAGAAAAGGTGAGCTTATTTTTAATAGCTTAGTTGAGAGATAAGTTTTTATGTTGAAATGGATACTTTTAAAGATATCAGCAGAGCAACTTATGTGTAAATTTATAAAATATGCACTTTTGATTTACACATACTTCCCCCTCTTGACTCTCAAGTAATAAAATGCTTGTATCCTATTCTGTTGTGCATGTCTTATCTATCCTGTCATCAAAATGCAGACTGAGTTTCTTATTTTTAGCTATTTACTACCTACATTTTTTAAAAAACAGGTTATGCAAGCACAGTTTGCTCAGGACAACAACCCAGATGCACAGACCCTCCAGAAACTGGCAGAAAGGACAGGCTTGAGCAGACGTGTGATACAGGTGATTATTACAAAGGTTAATCAAGAAATACTAAAAGTTCTATTCTTGGTCTTTATGAGTGTGCATTGTTTTTTTGTAAAGAAATTTCAAAGCATTAGCTTTCCATTTCAGGTCTCTTCACACTTTAACTCAGTTTTTCTAAACCTGATGATTTGCCTTCTTAGGCTAGCTTCCTTTTGTTAAAAGACTACATGAGTTACTTTATTCAGTGTTCACAGCAACCCTAAGATCCTCAGGCTAGAAAAGTCAACTGTGGTGCCAAGCTAGATCTGGTTCTGAAACAAGTATTTTTTTCTCCTTTTCTGTGATTGTGTATGTGAGTTGAGTGGGGGTAAGGAATGTTGATGGCCTTTGGTAAAGATTCAGGTAAAGGGGGCAGTGTGAACAAAGCTAGGAAAGCATGAGTTAAAGCTAGTGTATTGGAGTGTAAGATTTTTATTTGTGAATTGTGGGAGATAAAACTGTTGGAGCTGAACCTGGAAAGGCCTGTGCATGTAGAGTTTTCTCCTGAGCAGGAAAAAAACCATGACATGTAATTTCAGGAAGAAAGGGCTGGTGACAGTACTTGGGAAGAATTAGAACTAGGTACAATTATATAGACAGATTAGTTAGGATACCTGGCAAACTAGTGATTTTTTGAATAAAGCCTTCATGGGGATAGTGACCTAGAAACAAGAAAAGGACCTGGACATTGTAGTAGGGAGGCAGAGAGGTCAAAGCTGACTCTTATATTTTAAATCTAAGTATCTGTGGGAACGGTGCTATTGAGAGGAGAATTACAGTCAAAAGAGAGCTGGTTTGGTAGTTGGGAGGGAGATTAATTGGTCTTTACCTCTGCTAGTCATGCAATGATGGTGGTAGTTGGGCATGTAAATGGGTATTTTAAAGGATGAAGAGAACTCAAGAAGAAGATCCATTGCCATAAAATTGGGTAAGGTCCTTTAGAACAGGACCATAGGCAATAAAACCTGAAGATTGAACTTTAGGGAGAGAGCAGATCAAGAGATGATGTCTGGGACTTTATAACAGCCCGTCAGGGAATGAGTCTTGTGTAGATGTATCACAAAGTCTGAAGGAGTGAGGTGGGTTCAGGATGGAGGTGGTTAACTGTGTCAAGATCTTAGAGATCAGGAAGATGAAATTCCACTGGGGATGGGGAGGTAAAGTCTGATATCATACATGTAATGTTCATTTCTTAAATTGGATGGTTGATAAATAGGTGTTTATTCTTCAGTTTATTCTTAAGCCTGAAGTATTTCATAATTAACAAATGATTTATACAAAGAAGCCAATGGGAAAGGCCTGATGGTACTATAATTTCTCTAAAGACCCAGATTCCTAGTGGATTTGGTTGGCTGCAGTGTAATGAGGTGCTCAGAGGAGGCACGTCTACTGACTTTAGTACTTCTTCCAATGTCCAGGGTATTGCATTTATTTCAAAGTGACAGATTTCTAAAAGGGACTAACAGGGAACCAATCTGAAAAGACTGCTTTCCTTAGAGAAAGGCTAACAGGTTTGGGAAAGGTCTAGAAATCATGTGCTAATATTAGTGGTGACAGGGATATTTATCTGGAGTTAAGATGAGCAGACAGTAAAGGAAGGAATAGTATAAACACAGTATCTTTAAATATACATGAAAGGCTGTCCTGCAGACAGCAGAATCAGCTCTCTGCAAGGGAATGTAAGAAAAGGCAGATTTCACTCATGATAAAGAACTTTCTCAGTATGAAAGGCCATAAAAATACCATGGCTACCACCGGAGATAGTGAGTTTCTTGTTCCTGGAAGAGGAACTTCCTTTATTAAGAAAGTTCAGACTCAATGGGCTGATAGTTCCTTTTAGTCTAAGACTATATTCAGTGACAATGACTGTGGCAGCTCAATCAAATTCCTATTATGTTTTAGATTATTTTGAAGCTGGAACCAAAGGAAAATGGAGGGTTTTCCGAGGGTTTTTCTTATTATTTGAAGAAGTAAGGATCCCAGACAGAAGTCTGCCATATAATTTCCAGGTATTTAGGTCACCAGTAGTATGAGCAAGTTAATTTGATTACAAGCACAGAAACAAAGAATATATTGTTGAATGGTGGCTTTTTAATATGTGAGGATTGAACTTGAATATTTTTGTAAGATGACAAATGAGTACTAGCAAGCAAATATATTATTTGTATACATACATTTGTGTATATGATTTATGTATATAGTCCTTCACAGTATTTTTGAAAAAATAATTAGTGTGATCTCAAATAGTAATCATAACCTTTGTCCAGTCTACTTCATATTCTTGGGTATACTTTAGAAGAGTTAGAGAGTTTTGATTACCAGACCTTGATTCTACAGAATATGCAAAGTAGGTTACCCAAAGACTGGTGAAACAATGGTCTGATACACAGAGACAATCTCACCTTTACTAGCTAAAGTCTGCTTAGTGAGACATTAGTAACAGAATAGATCATCATTGTACTGAATTCACAGAATAAAATTGGATGATTTCACTTTTAACATTCTGCATCCAGATACACTATTCATATACCCTCTCAGATAGGTGAATGATGAGTAGTGTATCTTACAGAAATAGGACAGAACATTGCTTCTAGGGTACTGGGAAAACCTGTCCATATTAGGATCTACATCAATTTTATTGCTGCACATATTGAACAAGGCATAGTTTATTTAATGTATTTCCAATTTTTCATTATCAGTGCTGCAGTGAACAACATTGCATATATACCTTGCAAGTGATTCAACAGTTTCTCTACAATAAATACTTAGAAGTGGGATTGTTGCATCAAAAGATAAAATGGTTTTAGGGCCTTTAACTGATAGTACAAAAATTACCTCGAGAAAGTTCATGCTAATTTATTCTGCCAGATCAGGAGCTACAGATGTGAGTTCCCATTTCCCCAGCCCACATGAATCCTGGGTACTGTCATTCTTGTAGATCCTTTGCAATATGGTACTCAGAAGATCTCATTGTTTTTGTTAATATTGCTTTATTATCAAGGAACTTTAACATGTTTGGAGTTTATTTTGTAATTTTAAAAACTATGTTTTTAGTCCACCCTTCTATTGGGCTGTTTCTTTTTCTCTCCACCTCAGTGATTTTTATTTATTCTATTTGTCATGTTAAGCTTTCATTGTTCATTAATTTCCTTTTCATTTTTTTCCACATACAGGTTTTATATTTTTATGTATCATATTTCTCAAAAACTATTTTTTCTCATATATTTGGCCTTTTTTATGTTTCTCTGTCTAGAGAGTATGTCAATATTGGCTTTTGTTTCCTTAAACATTATGGTTTCAATTATTTACACCTAACCTTCAATTTATCTGGAATTGACTTCTGGTTACATGAGGTAGGGATTTTTCTTTTTTTCTCGCAAATGATTGGCCAGTTCCTATAAATTAATATTATGCCATGCTTTCCCAATAATTTAAAATCCTATCTTGTGCCCAAAATTCTATTTGGCCCCTGGGCTTCCTCCAAGATTCATTTTATTCATTAATCTTTTTTTTTTCCCAGAATGTCTACATGGCCTGCTTTCAGATTATGTAGTTTACAATTTAGAGATCAAAATATACTTCCTTTATTTCTGCAATAAAGTGGACAACAGGCTGGTTAGCCCTCTACACTTTGTGAACTGTTTCACCAGTGGATCTGTTTGTATTTTTTTCTACTTAAATATTTTAGAGTATGGTGCTTGGAAGAAATTTTAATTTTCGTTAGAGATTTTCAAAGCAGAGGAATTTTAAGTCAGGAGAATCAAAAGGGCTTATATTTGAATTCTGAAGCTAGGAAGCCCTCATGTCAGTAGCTTTTTTCTGATATCTTGAGTCCTCGACTATATTTTGTTGTACAAGTTATGTGACACTTTGTGTTCCCAAACTTCTCAGTGTTTGATTACATATTGGTGATCTTCCCAATGAGCAATTTGAATCAGCATTAAGGTAGTTATTCTGCTGTTTATGTCAGGCCTTCTTTATATTTATTTACAAAGTCTGGGATTTTTCCCTTTTTTCTTAACATCTGAGTAGGTTCCATCCAACATATAATTTATTAAAGACATAAGATTCTTTGAAGAAAGTCCAGGAACCATAGTGCCATGTGTATTAGATTATATGTAGTCCTCTGAGGTGTATGTGTCTGGGTACTGTCTGGGGAAAAGGCAGGTGACAGCAGTTCCCTCTTACAAGCTGGGCAATGTATGAATATATCTCCTTGGCTGGGTGGGTGGCAGTAGTGGTACCAGTTGTGAAGGAGCCAGTGGAGAGAACTCTGGAGTAATTGGGTGTGGTCTCTGTACAGGTATCTGAATCTAACATGTCAGAAGATCGGGGGAAAGGCTGTGACTTCCCATTCCTGTACCTTGATATAGGCCTAAATCTTGTTCCTGAAACATTCCTTGTGTGCTCCCTTTCAGCCACCTGCTCAGGGTTGCATATCCCATTAATTATGAATTTTATTCTTTTAGTTTTAACCCGAG